TCAATTTTTTTAAATTTCAATATCTCTAGTAAACCTCCCTTGAATTCAATTCTGACACTGTCTAAACCAAGGTCTTACACAGGACAGGTGTGCTGTACAAAAGCTGGCCGTTTGAAAAAAGTTATCAGCCAAAGAATTAGTTTAAGTGCTTGCAATAACTGGACCTTCATATATTTAGAGTTCAGTAACACCTGGGGTTTTCTTTTCATACTTTTCTTCTTGCTTTTTATCCTGTTTGACAGATAATTTATCCCATGATCCCAGCAGCAGTACTAAACCTACATGCTTGCAGAATAGTGCCTAGAATTTAGCCAGTAACTTTGGCCCTTCTCTATAAGCTTATGCTTTAAATAATATAACACCGTAAAAAAAAAAGTTCCTTACCTCTTTTTCGGAGTCATAGTTGGGATCGTGTGCGTCCTGTGTTTCAGAGGTTTCATACAGTTCAGAGCCTGGAGCCCCCCAGGTCCCCTTACCCCCAGCACCACCTGGAATAAATAGTGAAAATAGCGATTATCATAACTTAAGTTTGGGGGAGGGAGTATGAATAGTGACCCCACCACTGCCTGGAACAAATAGTGAAAATTGCAATAACATGTGACTTTAGGTTGGGGGAGATTATAAGTACAGTGACCGAAATTTCATAAATATGAACTTTCATATGTATCCATTTATATACTGTGCTGTGTACTTGATAATAGTTATGTGTTAGTACTCATGCTATTAGCAACTAAACGTTATATCATTACCATGTAATTGTATTTTTCTGGGGACTTGACTCACATTTTACTTTGACGTTGAAAGTGTGTGTGTAAGTGCTGGATATTGGACCTTCATCAAATGCCCTTGAGAAAACAGTGAGTGGAACTTTTAAGGACAATTAACAGGATATGGACACTTTGAGATAAGTTTATCTCTGTTTAATTGTACTTTTATTATTAATTTGGTTAAGTCAGTCACTGTTAATAAATTGTTAAGTGTTTGTGTTATTGATTTTTGCTGGCATTTTGGGGTATTCTGACCCTTAACAACTTACAGTACCTATTTATTAAATGATTAATTCATTTTACTTCATAAAGAAAATCTTTCAAGATGACAGTGGTAGATTCCTAATTATTTCTTTTTACAATTGGTATGATGTAATATCTGCTGATTGATTTTGTACTGTTTAATAATATAACTCCAGCCAAAAAAAAAAATACTTTGAATCAAATTCTTTCATTTCTGTTAAAAATTCTTATAGGTATATCTTTCAGACATACTGATCTTATACTTTTCAAGTTCAAGATGAATGCCCGTCTTATAAGTAAACCATGCTGATGTTTTACTGCACGTAAACAGGCTTCTGTGGTTTCCTGTTTGTCTACACTCCTCCTGGCATGAATGGGGCACAACACTGGCCTGTCTACATCTTACTGTGACGTCATACACCACGTCTCAACACATGGCCAATTACTATCTCTGACCCTCTGTGCTGGATATTTATAGCATGTTTATGATCAGCTTGTTTACAAACATTTACCATGAGGTCAGGCATAAAAAGTAATGCACCCAACTATCAAAAGGATGTTCTTAATGAAAAACAGTTTTAAACTTAGAATGTTTACAAGGTTCACCATCTTCAATATATAACAACAGGGCAAAATTATTCTATACCAAGGGCACTCTAATAAGCCGTCAGACCATATAAGCAAGCATGTGCAATAAGCACTTTATTTAAATCCACACTGGCACAAGTAAGTTTTCATACTGTGACTCCAGAGTACACACAAGGCTCTAAGAGTGTCTCTACAGTCAATGCATAGTAGCTTATGTTACGGTTCTAAAGTTTAAAATGAAGGAAATTTATGTGACCTAATCAGCTGTTTAGAGATATCAAAATTCAGCAACACGTGCAAAAGCTTGCTAGTGCATGCAAACAACAGGCAAAGTAACCAGTCAACAACTATATGCCAGGATTTGTCAGTGTACTAACATGTGGTCCTGGACTGGATGGCATAACTATGGATATATTGGCAGCTGTTTCTCCTCCCATGCTATTCCACAATAGCCATCCTTATCATATTTTCCTGTTGATACAGCTCTTCTACCTGGATCCCTGCCAGGTGTGATAACTGCAATGGTGGGGTGATGTGTCAGTGGCCTTGAGCAATGTGAAACGATATGCTCAGCTGGAGAGGGTCACCCAATAACAACAATACAATCCAGGCATGTGACTTGCAAACAAACAGAGCATGAAAATCAAAGCGTGGCCCTTTGTAAAGTATTTATTGAAGTATTCTAAAAACATGCTAGGTGCATTTAAACATGGGATTTAAAGAGTTGGGGGAGATACTCTTTAAACCAGAATTCCATGTATAGCTAAGGTATATTTAATGTTTATGTATGTATGTACGATGTCCTTACATTGTTGTGTGCAAACACAGAATAATGCACATATCAGACAAAGGCCTAGGTTTCAAAAAAAAAAAAAAAAAAAAAAACCCTCTGAACATTTATCATGGGACCCAACACCTAACCTTGACGATTCTTAGGAACCATCAGAATTGAATTAAAATAGGCGGAATTCCACTTTTCCAGGAAAAAAGCTCATGTCTGATATATTATCTGCATTACAGTTGACCTCTTTCCCTCATTACTTACAATATAAATTCAGTTGGCTTGGTATAAATGAGGTGTGTCAAATCCATGAATCCTGATTGGCTGTCACAATAAGCCAATCAAACATGTGAAAGATAATCTTCTAATCTTTGAACAGACATGCATTAAAGCCCCTTTAAGGACAATCAAATCAATTTCCATATTGAAAATCCCTTGCAAATGATCCTTGGTCACTTTCAGTGTCCATCAAAAATCAAAAGCTTAAACATTCAAATGAATATATCCTTATCTTTGCAATACAAAATTGAATAATTTATCAATAACTACTTGTCCACAATGATCATATTGTTACCTACTTCAAGTTAATAATGTACTAGTTGCAGCAAAGAAGTCATGTAGCATACTGGTGCTAAGTTTTTGGCCTCTTGGACATCCATTTTTATCAAAAGCTGTGCATAAATTAGGATGCCACTACAAGAGTTAGAATGTATGATTTCTTGGAACTGTGCAAATGACATCAAGACAAATTGATGTAAGCATTCAGTGGCACCATTTAAACCAGACAAAGTTGAAGCTTTGAAAGGTCAGACTGCAGCACTTGTCTCAATCTTCAACTGAAACCATTTGACTATACAAATGTATGCTGGGGAGGTAACGGGTAAAACGCAGGACTTTCAAGACTTCCACTCAGACGGCTTCCCTATAAATTTGTGGAGGACACAAAAGAGAATTGGTGAACTGGTAAATAAACAGGAATGCTATACAAGCAGTTCATTTATCTTACATATTATGAGTAGACCATGTCTGCAGGACTAATTAATCCCCTTATGTCTACCACTTAAACCATCAAAATAAGGCAGACTTCAATAAGAAACCATGATTCACAACATCCATGTACTGAGCACGCGTTCAAAATTTAGTCAACACGTACAGACATGCATGGGCATGCTTATAAAATACGAGAAAAAACATGACGCTCAAGACGTGGAAGGAATTTATGAGCACTGTCAATAAATATTGCAAAACAACACGTGCATTAAACTTTTTAAAGGGCTTCATGCCAGGGCGTCTGACGTTCATTAGCTCTTTGCGTACCTTTCTTAGGAAGTCCTCGTCCCAGACCCATGCGGGACTTGCGCATGTTTTTCACGGAAACTGGAGGTAAATTGCCATTTACCACGGGTGGGTCGTCTTTTCTTGGGCTAAGCTTCGTAAGCCGTTTTGCTTTGCGAATCACTCTGTCCTCCTTTGGTACATCATTTTCCATTGAGTCTTTGCTAAAGAGCACGTTGCCATTTTCCACTTCGCCATTTTCCATTGGCTGCTCCATGACTGCTTGTTACTGGAATATCAACTCTGTAAACAAAGCTCAGCGAACGTACTTTCCACGCAAAATCTGCCCAAAGCAAAAATTGACCCTTAAGGACTAGTCCACGAGGACTGTCAACTAGCTGCCTTGACTTACACCTTGGATTAATAACAAAACACCTGTAACAACCTGCGCTTCTGCACAACAGATATGGCCGACCTCGAGTTGTTTTGATTCAATGTGTCACGTGACTACGACGAGTTTCGATTGGACAAATTGAGCAAGTGCGCCATCTGGAATAATGCGTTGTAAACATCCCCTTGCCACGTTTACATGCATTGATGACTCAAAAAATTCCCTAAATAAATGATAATCATCGAAGATTTTATAACGCACTGAATCGTTTCGAGGATGAGAATTTGGGGGGAAATTTTTATTTTGTGAATTATAAATACAACCTAAACTAAAATGTTACTAGTTTTTTCAGTTTTTACGACTCGATCTTTCATGTAAACGAACGGCTTATATAAATACTTGTAGAAAAGGGCTTTTATTTTTTGACGTCATAATATTAGCATAATCATGATTGTTTTTCATTATTGAAGCGCGTTATTGTGACTAAAACATGGTGTAAAATACTTTTACTTCAATTCCAATACAACTGACATTCTAACTTAAATTAAAAAACATATATTTAGTGTTACCAAAGAAAAATATGAAAATAAAAATAAATGGTTTTTGTGAACAGCTTACATTGCCAAGTTCCACAACTACATATTTTTAATTCAAACCCCATGTTCATTCAGGTTATTTCAGAACCCCTAGAATTATTTCATTACTTTAAATTGGTAAGAGTACCTAAGAAACATCCAATAGCCAACAGAATGTCACCAAACAGTCAGCTCATTTTTTGGTTTGTTCAGAATCAAAAAGGTTTATTCAAATGATTTTTTATACACCATCAGGTGAATATTTAGCCTACCATACTGCATCTTTCAATATGGAAGCTTACAATACCAACACAGAAGTGTTAGTGTTCCAAATATGTAGGATTTAAGAGAAAGAGAGAAAATAAAAAGAAGCTGATAAGATGAATATTTATTTGAATATAATATCATGTAGAAAGACTATAGGAGTATCTTTCTTATTTACATGTAGCTATCTATAAGACCAAGTTTATATATACAGAAGCTTGTCTCCCTATCTATATACATCATTAGGCAAGTAACAGAACTATTACACATTCAGTTTACTTGGTATAAGAAACAGAAAGTTGATGGTACATGATCTGAGTTTTCATTCATTCATCACAAACACAACCACGATCAAAATCATACGAATCAGCATAGCATTCCAATTCAAAATCTGCCCCAAAACTCAAACAGAAGCACCACAAAGTAATAATCTGTAACGTTAGTGGGGTTGGTACATAGAGCAGGTCAATGGGAAACGGTAACATAGAGCAATTGTCTAAAAGATGACATAATGTAGAGAAAATGACATGTAATCTAATATACAGTGACAATATAGAAGCTTCACAGAGCAAACTGACTTAAATCAGTGAAGATTGAATAGACAAATTTTCATTACTACTTGAATTTGCACCCTTGTGTATCATACCCAGGATAACTTGATTTATTACTCTGAAACCCTCGCTGAATAGAGATAATGTATGGTAGAATCTACTCCACATGTCAGAATAACTTCATACAGCAATTTTCACATAGGAAAATGTACTCAAAAGTTATTTCAGTATATGTCAACTTCATAACTAAAAGCATTTTTAAAAAATGTTTTTTGCAGCTATGTTTCATATGTATATATAATCTATTATGAACATATAAATTCTTTTGTTGCAGATAAACCATAAACATGAACACTTAACAAAAATCAATTCACATTAATGAATTAATTTCTTCTGGATCTCAGTCTTCTCTTAACAATGTCATGGGAACTGTCTTTCTTACATGATGTGTCTTCTGTGGAAGTAATTATCTGAAAAATACCCAAACAGATATGAAATATAATGCAGATACACTGTGCAACATCTGAAATACAAAAAAATTCAGACGGTTACCTAAAATTACCGCTTAACAGCAAGTTTTTCTCAATCAACCTGATATTACCTTAATCTTTTAGTTAATCTACTGAACCTATTCAGATAATAAACGCCAGAGACAGGCATATAACCCACCATGTTAGGTGCACAATCAAAAGGAGCTGATATGTCAGTCTTGAACAGTTTTCTTTTCTTCTTCTCTGTCGTAGGTGGTGGTGGAGGGGAGGAGGTCGACGACGGAGACTTCACTGGCGAGGTCATACTGTCCCAGATTTTTTTTGCTGTGGAGGTAGAGGTGAAGTCACATGATTTTGAGGTCTCTGAAATTTGTGTGCGCAGCAAGGAGTAAAGAGCTAGCAGTGTGTTATTTGGTTTCATTGCTCATCAACAGGTGTTAACTTCACAAACAGGTTCCTCACCTACCAGGAGGCCCAGTGCTACATCAAATATTTCTCTCACATCACTCTAACACCCAAGAAATAACTTTTATTCTTTCAAAATTCCCAAAAGGCAATCTGATAAATAAGGAGCTGTTTGTTTCCAGAAAACAAGCATAACTTATTTTGCAAAAATCTGTTAGAGTAAATAAGAAATAAAAGCATATTTAAAAAATCACACTTTAAGTAAATTCACTCTTGCAATATTGTAGGATTTTATTTCAACAGAATCTTCAAGTCAAACCACTCAAATTTAATGTTTGTTATTTTCTTTTTTCTATGTGAATAAAAATATGTATTGGAGTATTGTTAAGTTAAATGTCACCAAAAAAGTGTTATGCTAGTGGTTGGAACAGCTGTCAGCTAAAAATGGGAGTTACCACTAATCAACAAAGTGACTGCATCATACTTCATGCAGAAAAATGTTCCAAGCAAGGACAATGTTATATCAGTTTTTTTGGCTTTTAAGTTGTGCACATATACATGCCTACAACAGTCATTATTAGTATAAAAACAAAATTTAAAAAAAATTCTGATAATACCTGACTTTCCTATGGGAGAGTTGGTCAGAATGTTGCCCAGTTTTGACAGGCCATGTCTCTTACTGGCTCTGTCTTCTGACCTCTGGAACTGGTCCTGCTCCTGGAGTGAAACAAAAATGCTACACTTCAAAGAATGGATATAATTTCCCCTTGGTATTTTAAAATAGATAAAGAGAACATTGGAGGAAATCACCTATTTCATGTGAAACTATGATATCAACAGTATCTAAATGTTAGCGTTGTTCAAGGTAAACAATTACTATTAAAAATGCATAAGAACAAAATTTAACACAGTTTCATGCAAAAACTGAGACTTCTGTTTATACGAGCTGAGCATATATTTCACCTTGTCTGTGCTATATGACTGATTCTCTTGATTTTCTTCCTCTTTGATCTTCTCAACTTTTGACCTGGTCCTACTTCCTCTGGTGGCCCTCCTTGTCTTTGGAGGAGTTGTCTGAAAGAATTAGCCGTTTCTTTGTTACAAACTGAGATAACCATCTACAAAGCCTTGTAAATAATTATATATATATATATATATATATATATATATATATATATATATATATATATATATATATAAAATATCTGAAAGTTTATATTACTTACAGTAATTACAGGCAAACACCAAAATCAATTTTGCCATGACTAGCATACCTCAGCAGTCTCTACACTCTTCCTCTTCTTGCCACGTGTCATGCGTGTGGTCCGCCTCGTCTTTGCCACCTCAGGCGTTGCATCTATCTCCAGGTGTGTCGACGTGAAGGAGTCCTCCACCAGCACGTCATCCTCGCTGACAGACACAGACACAGACCTGGTCCTAACAACCTGCTCCTAGGAAGAACAGCAAAACACTTTGATGCCATATCAACTGACTTAACACACAAAGAAAAAATCTGGTGCTATCTTTTGTTATTTGGCTTCCTCACTCCATAGCAGGGGTTAATGAAGAACTTCATATGGCACATTACTGATCAACCTACCAGAGACTGTTTCAATCTTATTGTTTAAACAAAATCCCCTCCTCTGTACACAACTTTGCAGTCTGACATCTCATTTTCCCTTGGATATTGCAACTTGGTGTATCTATTATTATTCTTCTTTTCTTTTCCCCCTTTACTTATTGTAAGGGGTATATATTCAAGGTGACATAATAAGCACATAGTTATCCAAATAGAACAGATAACTGGATACATCAAAATTAGCAAATGGCTGCCAGATGGTACAGGCGTTATTTGGCAATAGCAAAGTTCTACAAGCAGGTCAAAAATCTAAACAAGTATACAATGACAAAATAATAATAACGAAATTAAATATGTGCATGCTCATGGAAGGCTCTACAGTGAAATTATTAGAAACAAAATGTAACTCAAGCATAAGACAAAACCAACAGGAGTTTAAAAAAACAAGATATTACAAAAGAAGCCACTTTCAGCCACCCTGAGCTTCAGAGATAACTTGACACTAACCTCTTCACTATAGCCTATCTTCATCGTGTCAAGTTACCTCTGACGAAAATAGTTTGACCTAGTTTATATAAGCCAATCGAATCCAAGTTTCAAAATTTTTCACCAAAGTTTGGTGAAAACGCTGATTGGTTGACCGTCAATCGGCAATCCTCGGCTGATTCCGCAAGCTCCATACAAACAACAAAGTTATTGTCGAGTGCGGAGACATCCGAGTAGTTCCGAGTGCATAACCGTACACAAAGAAAGCATGGCGTCTCCTACGAGTGACTACGTGAAATAATGTGTTAAGTT